GGCACGGAACTTGCTCGGGATTCTCTCTCTCCTCTCTCTCTCTCTCTGCCCCTTACCAGCTCACGCTCTCTCTCCCTCTAAAAATAAATAATAAATACTTTAAAAAAGACAAAAAAAAAAAAAAAAGAAATGGGCTATATTCTCAAGAAGAGATTTGTATTATAATAAGATAATTATAGCTAATGTTTTATTGAAAACTTTGCTAATGCCTGTTTCGAGTGCTAAGCACTTTGGCCTGACTCTCTCAGTAAATCTTCACAACAGCCATCTGAGAGAGGCACCATTACTATCTTTAATGCATAGACGGAGAAATCAAATCTTCCAGAGTGAGTTATCACTTGAATACATGACAAAAATTCATGGAAAACTTTGTGGGAATCTCAAGTAAGAAATTATTAGCTTTAGCTAGTAGATTCAATGTGAATTTTGTGGGAAAAAGAGATAACTGAATTTTAAAGGATAGGTAGCAAAGAACATTCCAGAAAGTGCTTTAACAAAAGCCAGAGAGAATGTGACGCCTAAGTGAATACCTTTCTGTGATTCAATGACATATGCATTGGAGCAGTGGCAGAGGTGGGTTTATTGAAGTTGGGAGGAGCCAAATTATGAAGGATGGCATAGTCAGAAGATTGGAGGAGTTTGAAAATGAGCTGCTTCAATAATTCCTTGATATCCCTACAATGATCCATGTCAAGCTTCTCCAAGTGTGCTACTTGTGGGCCTTTTCAAATATAACTGAGGAAATGGATTATAGGACACACTCAACAGCAAGTAATCAACAGTTTAAGCAATTACTTGACTTAGAAAGACAATTACTTTTTTTTTTTTAGAGAGAGAGAGAGCAAGCATGTGTGGGAGAGAGGGGCAGAGGGAGAGAGAGAGATTCTCAAGCAGGCCCCATTCCCAATGCAAAGCCCAACGTGCGGTTTAACCTCACGACTGTGAGATCAGGATCTGAGCTGAAATCAAGTCAGACACTTAACTGACTGAGCCACTCAGGTGCCCCAAGACAATTACTTTTAAAATATACATGATTTTTGACACTTTTCTACTGCCTTAAAGGACATTATTTGAGATCAGTTGTGTTCATTGATCATGAAAGTAACAGCCAAACGTTAGTTGTTGAACACTGGTAGTTTTTCTCAGAAGTGAGGTAAGCCATACTTTTATTTATTTATTATTTTTTTTTAAGCCATACTTTTAAACTACAGATATTAGTTTTCCAGTACAAAGATTAAATAATATGGTGTTATGGACATCTATATCCAGTGCAATCTTTTAACACTCAGTAATATTTATCATCTTATTATGCATTGTATGATTAAGCAATATTTATATATATTTTATATATAGATAGGTATGTATATATAATGTGTGTATACATATGTATATATAATAGTATTAAGAACATGAGTCTGACTTTAAGGACTGACTATAAGCTAAATAGTGTCTAAAATGATATCAGTTAGAGAGATACATGAGTGGCTCAGTGGGTTAAGTGCCTGACTCTTGATTTCACCTCAGGTCATAACCTCAGGGTTGTGAGGTCACGCCCCACATTGGGCTCTGTGCTGAGTGTGAAGCCTGCTTAAAATTCTCTTTCTTCCATGGGGCACCTAGGTGGCTCAGTCAGTTAAGCGTCCAACTCTCAGTTTTAGCTTGGGTCATGATCTCATGGTCTCACAGTTCTAAGTTCAAGACCTACATCTGGCTTCATGCTGACAGTGCAGAGCCTGCTTGGGATTCTCTCTTTCCCTCTCTCTCTTTGCCCCTCCCCTGCTCACTTTCTCTATCTCTGTCTCAAAAATAAACAGATAAACAACAAAAAAAAAGATTCTCTCTCTTCCTTTCTCTTTGCCCCTTCCCTGCATGTATGCTCATGTGTGTGCTCTCTCTCAAAAAAATTAAAACAATATCGCTAGATGTGCAAATTTTATCAAGTCATTTAATTTATCTCAGGCTCAACTTAACCTGTAAAATGAGAGGCCTGCGCAGTTTAAGATTGTGATTCTATGAAATTAGGTAACTTCTGACCTTGGTAAGTTTAAAATTAGTTCAGGACACAGAGCACATCCACAGGAAAAAAGCTTAAGAAGCACACAAGGAACTTAACAACAAACTACAAAAGGAAGAATTTTTTTTTTAAGCATGTTCTGGGGGTGACTGGTGGCTTAGTTGGTTAGCCATTGAACTTCAGCTTAGGCCATGATCTCATAGTTCATGAGTTCAAGCACCTCATTGGGCTCTCTGCTGTCAGTGTGGAGCCTGCTTCAGATCCTCTGTCCTCCTCTCTCTCTGCCCCTCCCCCACTTGCTCGCTCTCTGTCTCTGTCTCTGTCTCTTTCTCAAAAATACATAAATATTTTAAAAATATTGTATAAAATAGTAAAACAAAGGTGAGGTTAAAAATTAAGCAAGAAAAGGATAGAAATTCTCACTTAGTAGGTAGAATTGTGTGGGGAAGGAATTTTTTGTTTCTTTTCTCTTCATCATAAAATAACTGATGATCAAGAATACTAATATATTTCTACTTGCAATCATATAGTGGTTATTCCATATTTATACCTATTGTGTGTGACAGTTTGATGTCTTCCCAAAATTCCTAGGGAACATGAATTCTATAATTCCTTTTAACTGTATCAAGAGGATGGAATTGGGAGGTTTTTGAAAGGGTTATTAGAAATTATACATAACTGGGGCGCCTGGGTGGCTTAGTCGGTTAAGCGTCCGACTTTCGCTTAGGTCATGATCTCGCGGTTCATGGGTTCGAGCCCCGCGTCGGGCTCTGTGCTGACTGCCAGCTCAGAGCCTGGAGCCTGTTTCAGTCTGTGACTCCCTCTCTCTCTGACCCTCGCCTGCTCACGCTGTCTTTCTCTCTCTCTCCTAGAAATAAATAAAAATCTTAAAAAAAAAAAGAAATTATACATAACTGCTGGTTGTGTCACTATGGGAAGCCACATATAAAGTATCACCAGGGTTATAAAGACAGTCTGACTCAAATTACTGCAGAGCATTACCAAATTTGGGTGAGGTTTCTAGAGGAAGGGAGCAGCCGATTAGTGAAGCAATCATCTACTGAGTACCCACTGTGTACACATTAATATAGGTGTTGCTAAGTAAACAGAAACCAAAAAAAAAAAAAAACAAAAACAGAACAGAAGAAGGGGGAAAAAGCCAGAAGCAGAGTTCATGCAGCAAGTGGTAGTGACTAAACCTGAAGGAATGGGAGAATAATCACTTTTATTAAGTTTTATTTGGTAGAGAGTGCCTAGGCTTTAGAGAGGAAGAAACAAAGATTTCAAAGTGGAAACAACGTTGGACACAGAATAAGATGCCTGGGTTCTAATATCAATTTAATCACTGAGGTGCAAACTTGAAAAATTATTTAGCCTCAGTTTTTTCTCCTGTAAAATGGGTGTAGTAATGCTGATAAATACCTTACTTCAGTGAGATTGTAGTGAGAAATATGTGAAACAATGACCTGTACACCATAAAAGAGTGAACATGTTATTTATTTATATCCAGTGAGGTCCCTGGACAAATGGTGTAATTTAATCTCTGCACCATTTATCCTCTGCACCATTTATCCTCAACAGCACACCTGCTTTTTCCTGCATGTGTGAGCAAGCATCCCCTTCCTGTGCTTTCTCTGAATGGACTATGAGCTTTTCAATAGCACAGTTTCTGTTTGCTTTCCATCCACAAGAAACAATGATTTGCATACTGTGAACATGAAGTATATTACTTGATAACAGTATTTTATTATGTATCATGATTTGAACTTAAGGTACTTTCAGACATGTCATTTACATGCAGTTGTCAGATTCATCTTGCTAGATACGTTTCTGATGTCATGTCACTGTTCAAAAGTTGTCAACAACTTCTCATTTTCTACTGAATGAAGTTTTAAAAAGTATTTTTAACATTGAGATATAATTGACATGTAACATTGATTTAGTTTTAGGTGTACAACAGAGTGATTACAGTCCTAACTCCTATCTAAATCCTAAAACCTTGCTAAAAATGTGATCACCAAACCAGTAGCATTGGCATCACCTGGCAGCTTGTTGGAAATGCATTCTCCAGCCCCATCACAGACCTGCTGAATCAGTAACTGGGTTTTAACAAAATTCCTAGCCAATTCATATATACAGCTTTTACTATAACTTTACTCTCTTGCTAAACTTGGAAGTATCACAAATGAGGTTCCCAGATTTTGCACGTAAAAATAATAGGTTCCAAATACAATTTGAAAACAATGAATACTTTCTTGGTAAATCTCAAACGCTTCATGGGACATACTTATGCTTAAAATATATATTTATTGTTTATCTGAAATTTAAATTTTACTGGGTTCTCTGTATTTAATCCAGCAATTAAATTCAGAAGAGTAGGATCTATGTCTAACATAACTTTGTATTCCCCCGCAGTGGTACAATGCCTTCCCTAACTGCTCAATGTTTGTTTAAGGAATAGACACTGAGCCTCTTGAGAACAGAGGTTTCTCTGGTACTATTTAATGTTGGATATTCCCAGGGGCTAATATAGTACCTGCCACACAATAAATAAAAACAATAAATATTTCTTAAATGAGTACACGAGTATATCAAGAACAATCTTCCAATTATGGGCTGGGTTATATGTACATATTTTAATAAAAACAATATTTTTCTAGTAATTTTTAAAAACAGATTGTTTAAAAGCTTCTCTTCGTACACTTTTTCACATTTTAGCTAGCACAATTAAGGGCTTGATGGGAACATAATCAAGGGCTCAGAATGTACTCGTTGCAGACTGGGTCCATATGGTCACTAGTGGAGAAAGAATCCTATCCCCAAGATGCTGACAAGCCTGCAGCAGGCGGCGGTAGGCGACTCCTCCCCCCTCCCAGGCCTTCCATTCTCCTGCGCATGCGCACAGCCTTGTGCAGACCCAGCCGGCCGACTGGAGAGAGGCGGGGCTCCCGGGGCGCGTGCGCGGCGGCCTGGGCTGCGGGCCCCTCCCTTGGCGGGGGCGCGCGGCGCGGAGGACCGCACGGAAAGGGGGAAGTCAGGTGGCCGCTGCCGCCGCCGCCGCCGCCGCCGCCGCCGCCGCGGTTTGTCGCCAGAAGGAAAATGGCGGATCTGGAGGAGCAGTTGTCTGATGAGGAGAAGGTAAGTGCCGCGGAGGCGGCGGAGCCCGGTGTCGGGGAGCCAGTAGAGCCCTGGCATATCAGCCCGGATTCTGGCCGCCAGGGAAGGGCATTGGTCTGTGCCCTCGGCTGCCCTTCCTCCTCCTCTCCTCGCTGCACCCTAGTGCCTGCCCCTGTCAGTCACCCGAGGCCCCGCGCGGGGGCAGGTCTCTGGCAGGCCTGGTCGCTCCGCTCCGCTCCTTGTAGGGTGTGTGCTCCGAAAATAGGAAGTAGGAGCCGGGCGGCGGCGCCTTGGCGCGGAGGCGGGGGGCGCGGGGGGCTCAGAGGGCGGCGGCCGCGGGAGACCCTTTCGTTCCTTCTCGGCCGCGGGGCCCTGCGCGGGTTCTGGGGCTGCAGAGGGTCCCGGTCCCGGTCCCGGCCTGGGAGCGGCCCAAGGGCGGTGCTCTGCCCGACGGCCTGGCCGGAGACTGTAGCACGGGTGAGGGGTAAAGGGGGAAAAAAAATCGCTTAGGAAGAATATCTTCACTTCTCCCTTCTACTCCCTCCTCCCAGAAACAAAATGCTTCCTTTTCTGGTTCTCTACGCTTTTTTCCTTTCCCTGTGGAAGTCTCCCTCCCTCCCCCTCTCTTTTTTTCCCCCTTTTCTTTTCTTGGCTTTAGCATTGGGCTTGCAGCTTCGGTGTTCGCTGAGAGGCAGCGGAGTTGTTCACCAAAGACCCCCTCCCCATAATTGTTTTCTGCCCCGGTTGGCACTGGCCTTTCTGGGGGGGCGGTTTGGTGGCGCTCCACCGTCCTGCTAGGACTTCGGAAGAGGGTGGATGTGTGCGACTCCTTTTGCTCTATCTTAGATGTTATGACAGCATTGGAACCAGATGAACGGCTTACTCTAAATTCTCAGGCTTTTAAAATAAGAAATCTGATCATTGAACTAGTTCTCTCTTGTTCGCCGTTTCCTTTGGTTACTGTGAAGGCCCATTCCCTGGGGAAGAAGGGGGCTCTACTAATTTTGAGTATTTTCCGGGAAGGACTTGGACGTTTCTCAAACTCAGAAGTGACCGACATAACCTGTGAATACAGTTTTCCAAGTGTCCACTCTTAATTTCACAGTGTTCATTTTTTTTTTCCAACTTCCGAGGCAGAACCGCGGTGTATGAAACACACACACCTCATGGTGTTTTAAGAAAATCCTAATGTAAGCCTAAGGATATTTTCACTTGGAACTCTCTGCTCCAACTGTTTTTATATCTTGTAGTATAAGCTTGCACCGAAATGTAATGTTCTGTCTCCTTCCCGATGTGAATGTGCAGAAGTCGGCCTCATTTTCAATTTCGGAAATCTTTTCCTTTCTCTTGTGCTCTTTGGTGAAAGTAATAATAAAAGGGCAAGATGGGAAGAGCTAGGCAGATCCCTGTATACACAAAAGTTGCTGTGCAATATTCACATGTGTTATATTGGTAAATAACCATGAGTTGTCATCTGAAAATTTATGCGATTAGGCACACACACATTAAAGTGCTAAAAAGTTTTTAAAGGGATTGTCATGTTTTTATTCTACCGTTCTTAAGTACTGATTAGTTCAAGTGGCTAGAATCTGGCTGAGGAGAGAGTACGCAGTGTGGGAGTTAATATAGTTATGTCGTGTGTTGTAGAGGCCTAAAATAGCAAAAGTTTTTTCAAAATGAGATGACAGGGTTCCTCATTATCTGGCATTCTCAGGGCACTAAGTGCCATAAAGGCGGAGGGGTAGGGTGTCTTGTTCTCCAGGCTTGCCCAACACAATGGTTTAAGAGTAAATGAATGAAAATTCTAATTTGAAGGAATTTGGTGTTTGTATTTCAAGTTTTGTAAGATTATTCTGTAGATATTTTCATATAGATATCATTGCTATATTTAGTAATTAAGACAGCTCACCGAACTTCTGGGTTAAATTCAAGTAACTAGTTAAGTGAAATTCTAACTAACACCCTTGTCACTTCAGTTATCTAAATGTTCGTTTAATCTTTGGGGAGTAGGACAGTTGGGTATAGAAGCAGAAGTAGAATTTGAGAAGGTGGTATTTTTAAACTAATATTTAGATCCTGTTACTCTTTCTGCCACCTTATTTGTAATTTTCAAAAATAAGCTTTTAATATTTTCAGGTTGTTGGAATTTCCATTATAGATAGCAGATCTGAAGAAGGGAAGCTGTGAACTTACGTAGTACCCATACTTTGTATACGCATGGCTCAGTTAGATACTACATTCATTAATTTGTTTTAAGTTTGAGGTAGGTTTTATTATTACCATTTCACATAGTACCATTTTACAGATATATCAGAAAATTTAATTCACCCAAGGACACCTAAGTAAAAAGTGGCAGAGGTTGTGGGCACCTGGGTGGCTCAGTTGGTTAAGCATCCAGCTTCAGCTCAGGTCATGACTTCATGGTTCCTGAGTTCAAGCCCTCCTTGGGCTCTGTGCTGACATCTCAGAGCCTGAAGCCTGCTTCAGATCGTTTCTCCCTCTCTCTCTCTCTGCCCTTCCCCAGCTTGCTCGCTTGCTCTCTCTCTCTCTCTCAAAAAAAAAAAAAAAAAAATTAAAAGAAAAAAATTTTTTAAAGTGGCAGAGTTGGTATTTAAACCTGTTTGTCTGAGTCCAGAGTTGGTGCTCTTGTGACATTATATTTCCTTCGCAAATGATGATAGGACCCTCTTCTGGGTTTATTTTTGTTTTTAATTTGTTGATGGCTAATATTGAAAAAACAGAAACAGTTCTTTTTGTTTGTAATAAAAAATTTAAGTACCAAACATTAAATAGTGTTGGGCTCTAAATTTAAGTTGTACTTGATCATTTTAGAACAAAGTTTATTATTTAACACATTTAAAAATTTTACATTACTAGTACAGTTTCATATATGCTCTATGGTAGGAATTTTAGAAATTAATCCAGAATAACATCTTTGCTTTTTAAAATCATGTACAATTGCTTTGTGAGGATACCACTATGAAATCTAATAGCCTTTTCACCTTTGGCTTAGATTAATAGGGAATAAAATTCTGAAGAAGCACAGTAAAGTTCTTTAAAGTTATTCATTTGTTGTAGCATATCCCACAGATCTTTTTACATAGTTTAGAAACTCTAAGCCAAAAATAATTCATGTTTTGCATTCCTGGGGTCAGCTGCATTGTACAGCAAAGCATTTTTGTGAATTGGAAATTATATGAAATTATGGTATAAGGCTTAAAGCAGGAGAATTATTTGCCTCACACCCCTCCATACAGAGGAAAGTCACTCCCAAGCTCCAGAAGGAAGACAGTTATTGGTTGGAAAGGATTGGGCTTCCCCCCCCCTCCCGTAACCCCTCCCCCTTTTCCCCAGTGATAGGAGTGGTCCACTTCCATAGCTTCAACTTTTCTATCTTTGTAAATATGTCTTGAGTATATAGCTCAGCTCTAACTTCTCTTCTGAGCACTGGTCACACATTTTTATTGACTGGCCCTTTTTACAGGAGACAGTTTAAAAAATGTGTTCAAATGAACCTTCCTAAAAGTAAATACATAAAGCCCTTTCCCCGTTTCCCCCACACAAAGTGGGGCAGAAATCTATCTCATCTTACTCATTTTTCTCTTTCTCCATTTCCATTATTCTGGTCATCCAGGTTTTTGACTTCAGCTTTAACTTTTGTCTCCTTGAGCTCCGTCCTTACAATCTGATTCTGAATCTTGTCACTTCCATCATCAAAATGTTTCTTATGCAAATAATTTATTTTTCACTTGAAAAGGTAATTCAATGGTATTAATATTTACTCTGTTACTTCTCATTTGACCAGACGATTAAATTAACTGTTGTTACTTATGTTATTAACTACTCTTTTTTAGGAATAAAATTTTACTGTATGAACAGAATGCAAATTGATTGTAGCTGGTCAGTGACTACACAGTTAAGGAAGGAATAAAGGCAGGGGAAGAAAAGTGGGACTAGAAGAATGTCTTGTAGCTGGTCTTTACCTTCTGCTGTATTTGCCACTGATAAGCTTTTAGTATAAACTTTCTAGACTAATACGTCCAACTTCTTGTATCTAAGCCATGTTTTAATGTTTATGTACTTACAGACTTTTAGTTGCTGATTCCTCCATTGCCTTTACAAGGAATCCCAACTCTTGAAAATGATATTCATGGCCTTGTGTTCCATTCTAACCTAAATAGGTCTGACTCCAGTATATGTACTATTAGTTAATCATACGGTGAATTCAGAGACCTACATGCTAGCCCATGTCTAGCACCTTGGGTGCTATTTAACCTCTCAGCCTCAGTTTCCTCTGAAATGTGAGGATAAGTGTAAATGGCAGTAAACACACAATATATTGTAGTTATTTTTATCTGCTAATGACTTCTTATCCACTTTGAGTGTTGGTATTGCTCCCTGATCTTTTTTTTTTGAAAGATGAAAATCTTACTCATTCCTCAAGATTTATCTCAGATCACATGGCTCATTTAATCACTTTTCTGAACTCTATATCAATTAGTATTAAATTCAGTTTTGCAGAACAGTTATGTGCTTAACTGTCTCTTTCCTCTAGTTCTATTAGAATTCCTAAGTGCAAAAATAATATCTTTAGCGTCTGTCATTATGCTGCATGTGGTGAGTAGAAGGGTTCAGTGAGTGAATGAACAAAGGAATTGTGAATTCACAAAATTAAAACAGTTTTATGAAAAGTAGATGTAGCGTATGAAGTAAAGCTTTTGAGGGAGAATTTAGGGTACCTAATTTTTTTATTTCTAAATAATGCTATAGACTTTAAGATTTAGATAATCAAATGAAATTCTTGGTGCTCCTTAAGGTACTGGTGGTGATATTGGCTGTGGTTCAAATCATTCACGCATGCTAAATATTCTTTAGAAGTGGTTTATACAGTTCTCCCTCACTACACAATCATAGTTTGGTTTCAAAAGTTTTGTTTGTATTTGAAAGCAGTGTAAGTTGCCATCATAATTAATGTAAAATTTACAGTGTTCTTATTAACCAAAAACTAAACTAAACCAGTA